ATCAAGCTAGTGGGATGGTCCTAAACACTGAACCCAAGGCTCTGGGCTCAGAGCCATCAGAAGATGGTAGTAAAATTTTACCAGGTGAATAAAAGTAAAGAAAGAATATTAAAGACATACTGGAGTCCAGTGACTTTTAGGACATTGATAACAGATAACAAATCTTTTGTACCTTTTTGAAGTTTCCTTTATCAGTTTTCTTTTTATCAGTAGTAAGATTTTCTTCAATAAACAAGTATCAGATGTCAAACACAGCAAAATGCAATGTTGTATTGAACTATCTTCTATTTTGTAGTGAAAAAGGATGACAATGAAAGACAGTCTACCGTGCTCCCATTTATATTTTCCACCTCCAACTTGCTGAAATTGCTCCTGATAAGATCACCAATGACCTCCTAACTTGCCAAAGCTGACTTTTCACTCCTGGTCCTATCTGCATTTGACTATCATCAAGCCTCTCCCTCCTTTGGTTCTGCTCCTAGGTCTGATAACAATTACTCTTTAGGTATACACAGCTCCTTCCTCTGCCCCTGCTTTCCACAGAGGTTCATTTTTAAGCAACCTTTTTTCTCACTCTAAAAACTCTTCCTGAGAAAATTGACCATCTCTAGTGCTGTTAAACAACACAAATATTCCAGTAACTACCACTTCTGTATGTAAAACTGCTAGAAGAGAGTTTTAACCTGCATTTCCCCAAATGAGTAAATTCACTGGATATTTATGTGTTGGCAGGTTTTCCTTTTCTTTCATATTGCAATACATGACCTGTCACACAAGTACTTTCACAACAGAGATAAATTGAGATGTTGAACAACAACAACAACAACAAACTGAAGATTTTCCATCACAAAGTATATAAAAATATACACGGACTTGAAGAGAATACCTTGAAATTTTATAAAAACCTCTCTGTCTCTGAAATTCCCTCTTATCACCTATAACCATTGTATCTTACCCTGTCTCTGAGCTGATATGAAAGACCTGGAAATGCGTTTTTGTTTTTTTGTTTTTTGTTTTTTGTTTTTTGTTTTTTTTTTTTTAGGTTCCCATTCTGAGTCTTAGCTTTTACCTCTTAAACTTGACATTATCTATATCCTTACCTGCTTCTACAGCTTAATTCTTGCCTATAGCAAGTCTTCCTGCACCATAGACATGAAATCTTAGAATAAGGCAGAAAACCCTCTAGTTCTACTCTTAGTCTCTATACTATTGCCCATTCTGACTTGTGGAGTTTTCTTCAGAGCTGATCTTCTGAGGAGCTATGAAATCAACAATAGTCTCTCCTTATCCAGCCATACATGGTTAAAATCCTCCCTAATTTTGTCTGAGAGTAGGAAAGAATATTTCTTTTGTTAATACTTACTAAGTTTTATATTTATTTATCCCGACAATAAACACAAGATCTCTAGATCAGAGAGCACATTATTAATTACTCAAGAGCATCTTAGGGCCAGATGTTTATCTGTGAGCACAGGGATTGTAGTATAGGAGAGACACCCCCAAATTATGGATCTTAGGTTACATAGAGAAACTGAAACATCTGTCAGAGAGAGAGAGAGACAAACAGATAGACAGAAGCTTTGCTGTGAAATAAAAACAAATCCTTTCCAGGAAGAGGGGAAGGTCTAGGTCTATTACCTTTAGAATATAAGTTGAAATATCAGCAAGGAGCTCTGGGAGATAGAAATTTTTGAACGTCTCTGGAGCAATGCACTAGTCTAATCTTCAAGGTATGTTTGCTACTCAATCATCCTTTAACTCAGTTGCCAGAACTCTTCTCAGAAAACCTAGAAATGTAAAAATAGGTATGGTCCAACGATAGTTGCCATCTTACTCCTCTATTCAAAATCCAATTCCAATTGCTTATTGGACCCATAGTCTGAGGCCCCAAAGACTTCTCAGTATGATTATGATCATACTGACCAAAATTGAACTCATTGCTTATGGACATACACAAGCATTCATCTGTGGAACTTGTTCATCAATTTGAAATCATTTACTCAATGACACTACTGTGTATCTGGATGCCCAGGCTGTATACCTGGGTCATCCAAGTCATTCCTCTTCTTCACCCAACACACAGTCATTGAGCTCTGCCAAGACTCCTTCCTTAACTTCTTTCCCAATTCAACTCAAATATGGATACCAATTAGATATTTGATTAAATTAATGGATTTTTTAATATTATAGGCATGATAATAGTATTATGCTTTCCTTGAAAATAGGTCTTATATATTAGAAACACATGCTGAAGTATTTATGGGTAAAATTATATATCAATTTGTTTTTGAATAATCTAGTTGAAGAGGTGAGTGGATGGGGGTATAGAAGAAACAGAGTTGTCCATGGCGTCATAACAATTGGCGCTGGATAACAGGCTCCTGGGGGCTGTGTTATTTTCCTACTTTTGTATGTATTTGAAATTTTACATAATGAAAATTTTTAAAAATCATGGTTCTGCATTAGCTAATGAATTACATGCAGAATTTTCAGTTTGAGTTTCAAAGTACATTATTAAACATCCCCAACCTCTGTTTCCTGGCCCATCTTCCCCTAAGCTTGCACATTTCCAAAAAGCCAGCCAAATATGATTACTCATGTTACCTGTCTTTGCATGTGTGTTACCTACTAGCTATAATGTCTTTCCCACTTCTGCTAGTCAGCTATGTCTACCCCAAATTGCACCTCCTTCATGAATCCTTTCCTGAGTCTAAGACCAAATATATAATCCCATTTCTTCCCTAAACTTTTAGAAAATACTTGGTATCCTTTAGCCCACTCATCATATTCTCTCTTCTCATCTAGCTGAAGCCTCTATATTTTCATTTTTTTCCTTGAATCTCTAAACTATACCCTTTCCTACTACTACAATAAAATCCATTTAAAACTTCTTAAAACCAAACAAAACTGTGCTTCATCCCCCTTTGCTTTCCCTGTATTGCTCCTTGCATATGGAAAGAGCTCAATAAATGTTTGCTCAATTGACTTGTCTATAACAATTTAGATGAACAAAATAACCAAATTCTTATTAACAAGACTACCCAAATATGTATTTTTTTAGCAAATTTCTTTGGGAGTCAATATTTTTTAAAGAGTTTTCTTTTTACATAATGAATTTGTAGTTTTTACTTTTACCTTAAAATATAAATTAAAATTATGGAGTTAATTTGTGGGATTCACTCACTTATTCATGTATTCAATAGAAAAGTATCGGGCATCTGCCATGTGTCAGGCAAAGGTTTGAGTTCTTGAAACCCAACAGAAAGCAAAACAGAAAACATCCCTGTATTCATAGGGTTTACTGGAATGGTGTATACAGACCATTTGACATCTAATTTAATGTTAGTCATAAGTGCCACAAAGTAAAATGAAGAAGAATTCAGGGGAAAGAGCATGGGTGGGGCTGCTATTTAAAATAGGGTGGTAGAGAAGTCTCCTCTAAGAAGAGAAAGAAGTGATTAAATAGTGGTGAGGGAAAGTATTTTTGGCAGAGAGAACAGCAAGTGCAGAAACCTTGAAGCAAGAGTATACTTGGCATACTCAAGGAATGCAATAAAGCTAATGCGGCAATAAAGCTAATGTGGACTAAGGGGAGACTAGAAAGAGTTGAGGTTGGTATCAGAACTGTAGCAAAGGAGGTAGCAAGACGTAGTCAAATTCTGGGTATGTTCTGGAAGTAAAGCCAAAAAGATTGTCCAACAAGTTGAATGCTGGAGATTGAAAAAGTTAAAGATGGCTCCAAAGTTGTCAGCCATAGTAATTATTAATTCATGTCCATTTACTGAAATGAGAGAAACTATAAGAGGAGAAAGATTAAGAGATGGAGTTCGGAATTCTGTATGGGCCATGTTAAGTTTGAGAGTTTTGTGAGACCTCCAAATGTCAAGAAATTTCTTGGATTTGTTAGTCAGGCATCAAGAGGAGAGGTCTGGGCTGAGTATATGTTTGGATGCCATTGTCTTATAGAGAGTAAAGTTATGGGAACAAATGGGAGGAAGTATGGACAGAGGAGGAAAGAAGTACAAACACTGAACCAGAGAACTCTAATATTAAGATTAGTAAGAAGAGGCCGGGCGCAGTGGCTCACGCCTGTAATCCTAGCACTCTGGGAGGCCGAGGCAGGCGGATCATTTGAGCTCAGGAGTTCGAGACCAGCCTGAGCAAGAGCGAGACCCTGTCTCTACCAAAAAAATAGGAAGAAATTAGCTGGACAACTAAAAATATATAGAAAAAATTAGCTGGGCATGGTGGCGCATGCCTGTAGTCCTAGCTACTCGGGAGGCTGAGGCAGGAGGATCACTTGAGCCCAGGAGTTTGAGGTTGCTGTGAGCTAGGCTGATGTCATGGCACTCACTCTAGCCAGGGCAACAGGGTGAGACTCTGTCCCCCCCCCAAAAAAAAAAAAAGATTAGTAAGAAGAGAAGGATCCCAATTTTTGATAGCACAATAAAGTGACTTTAATCAATAATAAGTTAGGGTATATTTTTAAATAACTAAAAGAGTGAAATTGGAATGTTCCTAACAAAAAGAAATGCTAAATGCGTGAGGTGATGGATACCCCAATTACCCTGATTTGATTAATTCACATTGTATGCCTGCAACAAAATATCTCATGTACCCTATAAAGATAAACAGCTATTATGTACCCATAATAACTTTAAAAAAATTAAAAAATTAAAAAGGAGAACGATCCAGCAAAGGAGACTGAGAAGCAGTGGACATGAAGGTGCAAGAAAAACAAGAAAAATTCAGGTTACTGAAGCCGAATGAAGGCAGTTTTGAGCTGCAGGGAGGGATCAACCATATCAGGGTGAGGGCTATGAATTACCTATTGAATTCAGGCACGTTGAAGTCACTGGACTTCAGAACTAATAAATTTCAAAAGTCAATAATTAAGAATTGCAAGACTACTTGTTAGTTCTGGGTTTTGTATGTTTCTTTTTTTCTTTTCATAGACAGCTGATTCATTTTTTTCTTGTTCTAAAATTTCAATATTACAGAATATAAAAGACAATCTGCAACAAATCTCAGGTCGGATTGACGTTATTCACAACAAGAAGACAGGAGCATTGCAAAGTGCCACACCTGTGGAAAGGGCGAAGTTACAAGAAGCTCTCTCACAGCTTGATTTCCAATGGGATAAAGTTAACAAAATGTACAAGGACCGACAAGGGTAGGTAACACTTTCATTTTACTGACTGACTATACAAATGATTTGTTTTCAGGGAACTCTGCAATTTATTTCAATACCCTACATGGAAAAAAGAGATAGGGATAAAGAGAGGGAGAAGTATTACCATCGTTGGAAAAAGTAAGTAGAGTGAGAACAGATAATGATGAACAGTTCAGACAAATGAGCTGAAATCTAGAAATTATTCTGTACAGAATGTAGCATTATGTTGGAGCATTATATCATCCTCTAAAATTTTAGGTAATGACAAAACAGGTTTGGTCACTTAATTGAGATGGTATAAACAATTGTACACTATAAAATGTATGTCTTTAGTCTGTGTCCTATTGTCCTATATAATTATAGCAGTTTGATACTTAGGTTAATGTGTTTAAAATACAACCTATCAACAAAAAGTTGATTTTCAATCATTGTTTTTGTTTTAGAGAATGATGCTTCACATGTTGCAGTAATCCCCACCACACACACACTTTTCTTTTTTTTGCTGTGGGAAATTTGTTTATTTTAAATTATGTTTTTGTTCTTACCTTAATTAAAATATTTAGCTGTTGAAGTAATATTTGGAGGGGATTCACATACAATCTTTACTCTCACATCACAAGAAAGTAGACTATTTTTTCTTTTACATTTTTCAGTTAAAAGTAATGAAGTTCTCTAATAGCTTAAAACAATTTGTTTTAAAGTTCTGTAGTCTCAAGGTAGGCTTCTTAGTTATACTGAGAGGAAATCAAATCATTTGTCTAATAATTACAGGGATCCCCCATAGTATTTCTCACATCTGTCCATTTCTAACCATCCTTACTTCTATTTTAGTTCTTAGTTTACTACATTAGGCTCCTAAACAGAGACTTCTAGCATTAATCTCAGTTGCCTCTAATGATTCGCCCCACTTTGTTCTCAAATATCTTTCATCCACCATCATTTTTCTGAAGTGTAAGAACTTCAGTACTGTAATCTCATTCCCCTCAGAATGAAATCCTGACTTCTTAATTGAGCATAATTATCTGGTCAACCTCACTGCTTATTCCTTTTTTCTTAGCCTACTGCCTCTTGAAATTCTGCTCTAGCAGTATGAAATTGGTTTGCAGATCCCTAAGTGTTTTGTGACCCCCCTCTGGCCTACCTGTCCTTCAGGTCTCCCCTGAGATGTTATATCCTTCTGGAAATCTTAAAACTATAAGTTTATCATAACATCTGGAAACTAGGATGTTTTTTTACCATTTAATGTAATATAATATCAGTAAATCATTTATGTATTTGCAGATGTTTTGACTTGGGTGCTACCATGTAGAGTTTATGCTCCAATATGACCTACTCCTAGAAGTTAGCACATGGTAATGAATTTGCTTACTTTTCTGCCTCTCACACAAGCTCCAAATAGGCATGGGCTATGTTTATTTTGTGTGAGATGCTCAGGACTAATATAGTGCCAAACATAAAGTGGGTGGGTGTTCAGTGTGTCTGGACTCAAGCCTTCTCCCAGAAACTTGAGAATATTTCTCCACTGGATGGTCTAATAGGTTTATCCCAACTTATGTGACAAAAGCTGGTCCCAGGTATCCAAAGCCAGGCTTTATAAAGGAAAGGAAACTCAACAACCTGTGTATATACTGCAAATACAGACTTATATTGCCACCATAGTACACTTTCTCTCAGTATCCCACTAAGTCACTATGCACCTCTGCAGCCTACTCCAATGAAGTCAGTTCCATCACTCTCTTTTGGGGTGCTCATTCCACTGTTGAGATGTTATCGTTTCTCTGTTGTCTTCTTTCAGTCAGTGTTTTCTCCCAGAATTCTAGGCCACACACACCATCTCCTGAGAACCTTTGGGGTTTCTTGGGTAGCCAGTGATTACTGTGATTCTGTACCTACCAGTCTTGCACTAAAGTAGAAGAAGCACTTTCTGTTTTTTGAGGCTTCTCTTCCACTTCACTTATAAGTCATTTTTTGGCCAATGAAACAGGCATTCATTCCCTTCTCACAGGGTCACACAGACATTTCCCTTTCAATTCACCTTCAACTCTAGACTTAAAAGAAGCAGAAGCACTAATGCTATTCTACAGAAAGGGTACCTGAAATCTCACCCCAAATCTGAGGTCTTTTCTATTTCTGGCAAAGGACAGAATGTCTCTAATCCCAGGAGATCCACTCCTTCCTTATCCAGAGGCTGAAAGAGATCCTAATTTTATTCCAATTGACCTTCTCTATGAATTGGTCAGGAGCTGTTAAATTTTCTATGACTTTTAGTCTAGTCTTAGATTTTAAAAAAAAACTGTTTTAAGTAATTGCTTACGAGCACAGGCTCTAGAGTTCTAACATGTTTTGGGATACTGGTTTTGCTGCTGTCTAGTTATGTGTCCTTCAGCAAGATTTTTTAACTCTTATGCTACACAAGTTCTTTATCTAGAGAATGAGATAAGAATAGAATCTAAGTCATAGGATTGTTATAAGGATTAGTTGATACAAAGCATGTAGAGAGCTTAGTGTATTGCTTATACATGATAAGCAGTCAAAGTCAGCATTTTTGATAATGAAAATGGTGATCTTATGGCCCTGATAGTTTTGACACCTATTAATTCATTCCTCTACTCTTTCAAATTTTCCTGAACACCACAGAGACGTGAATTAGATTCAGTCTCTGCTTTCTAGTCCTGGGGAGAAAATGGACAACCAGCCAGTAAAATAAGGGTTGATAGATACGAGCTATGTATAAGGGCAAGAACAAGATCCCTGGGGAATGGAATGGAAACATCTTACTCAGGCCCAGGAATAAATCAAGATCTATGGACTTTTCAAGATTCTGAGTTACAACTAATAGAAATTATACTGGTTACCTTAGGTAGAATTATATTATTTGCCAGAACGATATCAGATAACTCACGGAATCAATGGGGAAGCCTGAGAGCCAGGTTTAACCATGGGCAGAAACTATCAAAGAAGACCAGGCCAGGTGTCTAGAAACACATCCATCATCAAACCACAAGGTAAATTTGAATTATTTTGCTGCCATGGCTATGGTCCACTGCTGCATCAAGAGCGGCATTGTACCCAGACATTACTTGCTACTATCACTGCCAAAATGTATCTAAATTATTCTTTCTTTTTTGTGTCACTCACTCTACAATTAAGGTCTCTTACAGAAGGATCTAGTAGAGAGGTTTTTTTGTTTTTTATTTTTATTCTATAAAGGGAACAGTTGCCGACTGTTTTAGTCTTTGCAGGCCATGTAGTCTCTGTCATAATTACTCAAATCTGTTGTTTATAGACTGAGAGAAACCATAGATGGTGCATAAACATATAGGCATGGTTTGTTCTGATAAAACTTTGTTTACCAAGATAGGTGGCCAAATTTTTCTGGTGGGCTATAAATTGATGACTCCTGTTAAAAGGAAGGTTTAGGTTGTATCACTAGGTTCTACCTGACAGGAGTCAGGGAAAATAAATAGCTGGAATTAGTTCTTCACTGTAGTGGTAGTCAGGGCCTTGTGTCCTACCAAGTCCCATGCTATGGCATATACTTGAACCCTAGGAGACATTTAGAAGCTATGCATTTATAAATACAAAAATGTTCAGTATCACCTTCATGTTGGGTTCTCAAAAAAAATGTCCTAATTTTTTAAATAAGCCAACTTGAGTTTAAGCCAAAATACATTTGAACCAGTAAGAAGGGCTACATTGCTATTTTTTCATATATGGTATATGTATGATAGTATTAATCAGCTATTACCACAATAAAACTATGATATAAATCACCTTAAAACTCAATGTATTAAAATATCAGGCATTTCTGGATGCTTTGGTTGCTTGTAGTTTAGCTGATTCAAGCTGGGAATGGTTGAGAAGCTCTGCTTCAAGATGTGGTTAGCTGAGCTAGGCTCCTGGATGCATGTTGGATTAAAGCCTGTTACATATGTCTTTACTCTGGGTTTACAATGAATGGTTAGTGGCATGCTCCTTTCATAACAGATCACCAAAGAATGCACCAAGCCTAACATCCTAAGAGCACATATGGCCGGTGCTCCTGTGAAGTCCATTCACAGTCCGTGGCCAAAGCAAATCACATGGCCAAGACTGACATAAATAGAACGGGAAAGTAGCCTCTTCCTATAGTGGAAGGGGAAAAGATATAAATATTTGCTGAACAATAAACTAAGTATTAGCTATAGTTAATAATTTATAACAAAGGATTTTTTTACAGTTAGAAAATACCTTAGTGATTTTGTTCTGTTTCATTATTTTATAGGGTAGAGAAGTAAATCTCAAAGATGTTAAGTGACTTACCCAAGCATATCTGCATATTTCTCTTTCACTTAAATATTTATCTCTAATTGGTTTGCATATTTTATTCACAATAAATTACAAATAAGAGGAAATGCATTAGATTCTCAGCACTCCTAAGACATAAATTCTGAGACCGTCATTCATCACCAAATTCATGAATGTTATAATTATAAAACTCACCTTTATTAAATGTCATAAAGTAGAATAGACATTACTCTTTAGGTAAGGGCAAGAAGAGAATTAATAGCCAGACTGATTTGTGACTACTTACTCATTATCTAAGAGACCTACTTCTATACATTGTCTTCTAGCAAATAGAATTTCCTAATTTGTAACTCAAGTTACAAATTATCAAAATATTAAAAGCAGCTCCTTTCCATGGAAATTCTGATAGTTCATAAATAATCAACACAGTCAATGTTAAAATCCACAAACACTATGAACTTATGGATAGACAAACATATATGCAAGATCAATATTTAAATTTTTGGAAAATTAATATTACTGCTAAATTATATTTTCATGTATTTTTGGTGGGTTACTAAATTTTGATAAAATATACCTGTAGAAAAAAATGTAAAAATAAAGAATTGACATAATATTTATCTAATATTAGAGAAACAAAGCCCTTTTCTTCTTTCAAAAAACACTTAAGAAGGGCCTACTAAGTGTCAGGTGCTATGTTCTATTGTCTTTAC